TCCCGAAGGACTTCTTGCAAACATTAATTGGCTTTGAGTGCCTGGATTGTGTTGACTGCACCAGCTTCCATTTACGACAAGTTAGCAGCAATCGCGTTTTCTTTTTCGTAGACCCGATGGATGAAGCAAGAAAAACAGTAAACTGAAGTCAAGTGGAAATTTTGTGAACATTGGACAAGGCCACATACGGCAGTTGCACTTCGAGCGCGTCAAGCTTTTAGAATCTCCAGTTGGGTTGGATTGCATGACGGGTGGTCGGCTGTGGCTGTCTCTGTCCCCTTTGACCCTCACCTCGATCCCGTAGAATTTGTCTCGAGGCTACCTGTATTAAAGAAGCTGACTTACACAGCGGCATATGCAGCAAATGGCTTCGTGGGCATTATCATCAGAGCGGGCTTGAAAAGTAGGATGATTGCTCTTTCCATCCTCAAATAAGAACGACTTTCGCAGTGTTCGTTTTTCGGTTTCGAATCGAGACCAAGAAACCTTTTCGCGTCCACAAGATTTTCATAAATTCGGAGTCTTCAGGCGGTCACCAAACGAAAATATATGTTTACGGTAACCGTGATGATTTTTCAAAAGTTACACAACTACCGACACAAGCAAGTGGCGGATGCTAGGAAGTATGTAGTCAGAACATAAAAGATGTGCCACTCTGCCCACATTATGTGTCGCTGTGTGGCTGTTGGGAGCGCTTGAGAGAGGCCGTAAGGCAAAATGGAATGGGTGAGTGCCGCAACTTGATCGGTGAGCGCCCTCTACCAAAACATGTGCCTGATCACAACCGACAGGACACCAAGCTAGTGGCTCAGTGTTTAGGGTATTGGACTTCTGACCAACAGGTCACGAGTTCGAGCCCCGTGGGTAGCACACATCGAGGTTGAGTATGGCCAGCTGGTGGCTGCTAACAAGCCAGAAATGGCCATTCCGGTCTTCTTTGTCTTGGTTGGTAATGCTATTCTACCTAAAGAGACGACTGCCAGAGCATGCGTTTTCATTAGTCTGACGTTTGGGATCCTCACTTGACTCCGCATCAATAATAGACAACGGTGATTAACTTGCGACAATTAATGACTTAGATGTGAGCAGACAGGCAAACAAGCAAGTACTGCACCGAGTATGACGATCGGTGATGAATGGGGGAGCTGCCAAGTATGTTTACATGGTGGCAGCGCACTCGCATCTCATAAATTTGCGTCCCTTGCGTGTCCGTTACCATTTTCTGTAGTAGCCTCTGATGATGGTTTCGAATGAGAATTAGAAACGTCTGCCGAGTAAAACTCTAGTGCCGGCGGTCACAGCTTCTTCTTTTCAGTCTGCAAAATGTCTAGACGAAAAGTCTCCCTATAAATTGCCGAGAATTGTAATGCATATTTCAGCCAGTAATCTAGACGAACTAGTAAAGAACAACAGTGGATATCAAAATTTGGATTTCTGACCTGTTTTCCATTGTCGGCCAGCCCTATCCCAAACCTGGTCATTTTTGTCAGTGCCCCTTCAGTATTAATTAGTTGTCATTAGGGGGTTCGTCCACAAACCCTATAAACTGGAGCACTGAACCAAAATGAAGCGTTGGCTTCGCTCGGAAATCAGACTAGATCGGTGAGTGCCGTTGAACCATGGTTTTTCCGACTTTTGACGTTCGGGTGGTTGACCCAGCAACATCACCTGAACAATGGGCGTTGTGTGCGTTGGTTTTTTAAAGTGTACTTCTGACACTAGACTTCGTCTTCATCTTGTCAAATTATCAGCTTCATATACTAAAAGATCCTCTGTATGTGAATTCCGTGTCAGCCTCCCTCTATCTCTGTCATGTGCACTAGCCGACTGTCCGAGCCTGCCAGTCAACTGCTGATGAGGTTTGGGGCAGTGGTCGACAGTGACACACCGTTCGTCTACGTGTGCCACCACACGACTTGGTTCGCAATTCATGTACCAGGATACACCAAATGGCATGCTTTCCGTGTACATGAGATGTGCGCGTACTGACATGCGACAGCGATACCATGAAGCAGGTGCAACGACAGGCCACAAAACTGGTGGACGGTCTCAGAACTCTGTCATACCCAGAAAGCCTGATCCACTTAAACTTGTTCCCCCTATCCCATAGACAAATGAGGTGTAACCTGTTATGGACATTCCGCATTAGCCACGAGCATGAATGTTCGCTCAAATCTGAAGCCTTCTTTGACTTCAAGACCACGCGACACCCGCCTCCCGTCGCTTCGCCCTGCAGTGACCGCTCCAGAAGGTGTAACCGGCACCCACCTCCTCTAGTTGGCCTTGTTCGGAGAAGTGGGTCTCGCTGAGTGCGGCGATGTCCACCTTGTAGCTCGCCAGTTCCCGAACCAATAGCGCCGTCTTCCGTTCCGGTCGGTTGCTACTAAGATTGTCTTAAAGGGAACGAACATTCCAGGCTGTCAGAGTGAGCGGACTCACCCTACCAGTCTGGCCGTTGGGGTGGCGGTGAGGAGAAGAAGAAGAAGAAGAAGAAGAAGAAGAAGAAGAAGAAGAAGAAGAAGAAGGGAGAGATGGAGAGAGAGAATTGTTGTTGTTGTTGTTGTTGTTGTTGTTGTTTCGATTTTGGTTGTTTCGACCGTGCGTTTAACGTCTGCGACCACAGTCAGCCTGCAGACGGTGTGGTTCCCAGCATTTTTATAGGGCGCCTTTTCTAGCCCCTCATCTTGCGGGCAAGCAGTACCTCCCTAAATAGGGCTGCTCGGTAATGTCAGATGCTGCTGCACTCCACTATGGGCCACGACTTTGGTGTAGTGGACGAACAACCCGAATGAGCCTGGGACCTCGAATTGTGGGGAGAGTGGACAGGAGAGAAGATACAACCAACAGAACGATATCTGACTTACAGTTAGGATGGACAAGCAGAGATGGCCAACAGGCTGGAACAGCAATAAGCAAGGCAGCACACAAGGTCCAGCACAATGCAGCTAGCTATTAGTAAGGCCAAGCGCAAACAAACAAACCTAGAGCAGGCGACAAGAGCAGCATACAGCAGGTAACACTAACAGGTAAAGCGAGGAAATAGAGCAACGTTTGCTTACCTGTGGGCTCATTTACCTTGTGGCCTCCTGCAGGGGTCCAGACGGAGCCTCGTCTCGGCGATACCGACGCGAAGATCTATCCGGCCAGCGGAGTCCACAGTACCGTGCGCGCAGATGCATGCACGAATATCCTCGCCCAAAGAGGGGGACGGCCACCTCCTCAATCAACGGCTGATGCACTTCCAATCGCGCGTATACACAATCACAGTTCACGAACTTTTCTTCGCTAACGACTGCGCCCTCAAAGCAACCTCGGCAGGAGACAAGCAAAGGAGCATGGATCTCTTCTCCACCGCCTGCGAGAACTTCGGTGTGGTCATTAACACAGCCCCTCTCCACAATGCGCGGCAAACCAGCGTGAACGGAGCCCAAATGCAAGTGGCGGACAACTCCACGTATTTGGCCAGCACCCTCTCCCGCAGCACCAAAATCGACGACGACGTGGCCCATCGGAATTCGAAGACCAGTCAAACCTTCGGCCGTCTTCAAAGCACAGTTTGAGATCGTCATGGTCTCGAGCTCAGCACGAAACTGAAGGTGTACAAGACCGTCATCATCCCGACGTTGTTGTATGAAGCAGAGACTTGGACGGTGTACACGAAGCAGGCACGCCGACTCAGTCACTTCCACCTCAACTGCCTTCGCCGAATACTGAAGATGAAGTGGCAGGACCGAGTCTCAGACACTAACGTACTGGAGAAGGCGGAAATCCTCAGTATCTACGACATGCTAAGACAGCTACAACTGCGTTGGAGCGGCCATCTCGTGCGAATGGACGACGAACGGCTACCCAAACGATTCTTCTACGGAGCTGTCGCCACGGGTTCCCGCCGCCAAGGGGTCCAAGTCCTTCGATAAAAGGACACTCTGAAATCCTCCCTTAAACGTCTGCAAATCCATTCGGCCAACTGGGATGACCTCTACCAAGACCGACTGACGTGGAGGAGGACAGTGAATACAGGCGCTGCGATCTACGAAGCCGACCGCATCGCCGCCGCAAATGCCAAGCGCGAAGCACGCAAGTCCCAGCTGCGCCCACTCCGCAATGCCAACGTACAACCGTCCCAAACGTGCCCACGGTGTCAACGGACATTCAGGGCGCCAATTGGACTTGCTGGAAACCTTCGGATCAACTGCACCACTCGGACCGCACCAACCGTCGTCCCTCCGTCCACCTCCTCCTCGTCCTCTACGCCGTCAACAAATTCTGACCGCCCTCCTGGACCACCACTCCCAGCCTTCTCCTCCCCTCCCCGTCCTGCTCCTCCCCCTCCTCCTCCTGTTTCTCCTCCTCCTCCTCCTCCTTCTCAACCGCCCCAGCGTCTGCCGTTGTGGCGTCTGCCATGCACATCAACACTATACACAATCCTGACACAACAACAAACACCAACACCATCACCATCGACACCAGTGGCGAGAACCAGGAATACACCTGTCCTCACTGCGATCGCACCTTCGCCTCACGAATCGGCCTAGTCGGTCAACTGCGAATCCATCGCATAGAGACTGGCGAACCAGTGCCTGGAACACCCACCTACACCCGCCGCATACGCCTCCACTGTCCACACTGCCCTCATAATTTCATGCACAGCATGGGTCTAATAGGTCACATGCGCATCCAAGACAACCTGCGGTAGACAACCGCCGGCTGCATCGCGCCACGGCATTCTCCCTCACCAGCATCTCACCGCACATCAACATCGCCCACCGCAAGCACCCGACTGCCACCTCCCGCGCAAGTGGAAAGTGTGCGTCTCCGCTCGGTCTCCGTACGGCTCCTGTCGCATGGGTGCCTCGAGACTGAGACTATTCCGACGCATCAAGCGCCGCGGATTGGAAGGCTGTTGATTGACGCCCCAACTCGGTCCACGCAGTCCGCCCACTTCTGTGTGTGTGTCATGTGGAGTGGCGGACTGGTGGGGTAGGGGCCGGGCCGAAATAGCTCCTTCCACGGCACTCCCACGCATGTTAGATATAGGCCACTCAACCCCGTTGTGTGAAATCCTGGTGCTTGCGTTTGGGGGGGAGGGGAGGGGGCAGATCGTGCATGCGGCGCACGCAGAGAAGGTCACAAGATATGTCAGCCACGGCGCCCATTCCCCGCGCTAGTCAACTGACCGGCTCGGACAGTGGCTGGGGTGTGGGAATTGGAAGAGAGAGTGAGGTCGACGACTCAGCGCACTTTCCTCCTCACTATAAACAACCTGACGCACTTGAAGCTATAACAGTGCGCTAAAAACCGTGGCTTGGAAGGTTGCCAACTGACGGGATAACTTGGACCTCGCAGTCGGCCCAGTGTTGTGTGTTTGCGTGGAGTGGCCAGCTGGTGGTCTGAGAGTCAGGCTGCAATGACCCCTTCTTAATGTGGCTGTTATGGAACTCCCTCTGCGTGAGACACGAACCGGGTGTGGGCGGCATGCCTAGGTGCTGCTTTGGCCGTGCCAGTCTCCACTCTCTCTGTTGTTGTTGGTCAAAAACCTGGCTATTTGTTGTGTGGACCAGGGGGTGTGGAGTGGAACGTCAAGGTGCGGGCTCGACCGTGCCATCCACCCACGCTCTCCCCCGTCTCCGGTCCTCTTCACTTTGCCTTGATACCGGATCCAGGTAGGGGAGGAGAAGGGATTATGATAGATGCAGCGAAAGTCTACCCTCCCTATAGATCCTGCGCAAGTCACCGTCCCTGCTCCCACCCTGCTGTGGAGAATACGGTGGACATCGTTGTATGTGACGGTCGAATTGTCGGGTTGACCTTACTGGCATTTCACTGGATCCACAGATGTTCAGCGAGGCCTACCCGTGCCCGGAATGTCAGTTTAGTTCTCTCCCTTTCCATGGACAACAGCTATTCTGTCGACTTTGCAGATGGCTGCTGCCAATTTTACTGCAGCGCGCCATACCTGTCGATCCTGAGTGAGGTCCTCTTAGGTCTCCGTGTTATTTTGCAGATGCTTGATTGAGGTTTCAATGTAGCGACACCTTTGTGCGCCTTGTATTCAAGCTCTTCTAGCTACGTCTCCATGGAAGATGCATTTGAGAAGGCACCCCTCATCCATCCCCACGATGTGGTCAGTCCGAAAGTAGGGTAACCGGAAGCGAAGAGGTTAACTCTCCGCTGTATATCCTCCTCCGTTGTAGCATGTATCGCGCAGATATCCGCAAAAATTAGATCGTGGATTCAGGCCTTGAGTACCCGCGAAGATGCTCTTAAGCGACGAGTTTTAGATTTTTCCATCGATCCGGCAGTTGATGTTTATCTGCGACCTCCCCTCACGGCGGAAGTCCATCAGCTTAGCGTAGGGCATGAGGCTGACTAGAGTGGAAGTGCGTACGCAGCCCAGCTTCGCTCCATTCGTCACCACCATGGCCTGCAATAACGATCTCCCGTTCGCGAGTCGAGCCATCACCCGTCCTGAAATTATCTTATCATTTGAACAAATCGTTCAGTACAGCTGAATGTCTGCATGAGGTTCCAAAGTCCCTCGTCGGCCCCCATTTTCTGACACTTTTCTCGCAGTTTGCAGGCTGCGAAGACCAATTTCGTGGTTCCGCCATGTTTTCGGAATCCTCGCTGCGTTTCTGGAAGAAGTCCTCCCTCCTGATGCATCTTCAGGCGACTGAGTGGATACGGGCAAAGGCTTTTCCTGTGATGTTGAGAGGAAAGATGTCTATGTGGTCATCACAAAGCTGACGGTACCCTCGAGCTTGTGGGATGTGTTCATGCCGCCACATCATGTGGATCAGTGAGGTAAGTCTCTTTCACGAGTTGTGGGTCGCCGTACTTGTAGACTTCGACATGACTTGTGTCAGCACCCGGTGCCCTTCCACTTGACAGATGGTGCACTGATCAGTAGGGGTCGTCGACACCGTCCACCTGAGGAGGTCGGTTGATTACTTTTTTGTAAATTGTTGGTCATTGCTTGAGGATTCCCTGAAATTTCGCGTTGCAGCACTTCAGTATCTGTGACTCCTCATCAGTAGGGTTACCCTCCCTTGGCTGCGGGTCTTGGGCTGGCTTGATGGTCGCGAAGAATTTCTTCATCTCACCACCGTCGGCATATCCCTGAATATTCTCAACTCTGTTGTATTAGGCTTTAGCATCGGAAGTCGGAAGGTGTTGGTCTGAAGAAGATCGTGCTCCGTACAGGTCTGCACGAGTGGGCCATTGCTGATGCAGCTGCCGATTCCGTGGAGAGCGAACACTCCCGCCCGGGCAGAACGAACTGTGCTGAAGAGGTTATTGTGGTCACCAGTAAGAAAGTTGTTAGGAGGTCTTGCAGGTCTGTAGCGAGCGCTAAAGACAGAACCGTCAATCCCAGACTCTGTAAATCAGGATAAGACCAGAGTTATGGAAGAATTAATAGTCAAAAGTCAAATGACCTGACAATTCCACTCATGCCAAGCGCGTCGCGTCGAGTTGTGTTCATTCCATTCAGTTAAACAACCAGTAAGTTCAAGAATGAGGAACAGGTAGGGAAAGGCAAGATAGTCTGGCGCCTCGGCACAGTACCCCCCTCCGAGACCGGAGGGCGGCGAAGACGACGCCGAAGGATGTGTACAGGTCTAAAAGAAATGAGTGACCAACCGATCAGGAAAGTGTACACGACGACCACTGCGAGTGATATATACAGGGTCCGTAGAAGAGTGAATAAATCTGGTGGCGGAAGTGTTGGAGTTGGTGGTGGCAGTCGGAGATGGCGGACAGGAGGGCAGAGGGAAAATACGGGACGGTGGGATAGAGGCTGCATGGGGGGAAGCAGAAGGTACAGGACCACAGGGCTCATCCGGAGGAGTGTCAGGGACGGCAGCCTTGAGGCGGTCCACATTCACGACCTCTTCACGATTGTCGCGCTGAATGAGGAAAGTCTTCGGCCCGCGAGAGAGCACCCGGAATTGGCCGTCATAGGGTGGTTCCAGAGGCCGGCGGACTCGATCACATCGGAGATAGACGTGAGAGCACGTTGCCAAGT